TTGGATGTTTGGCAGATAACCAAGGCAAACCACTGTTAACTGTGGAAGAAAAACTAGACACTTGGAAGAATTATGTGGAAGTAACTTTTGCAGATGAAAGGCAAAATACTATTGAAGACACTGAATACCAAACAGGACCCCCGATTACCATTGAAGAAGTCACGTCAGCTATTAAAAGAACTAAAGATGGTAAAGCGGTAGGGCCTGACGAGTTTTGAGCCGAATTCCTAAAACTTATGGATGAACAGGGAATAAAATGGATAACAGCTGTATTCAACAACATATAAGTAACTGGAAAAATACCCCAAAGTTGGTTAAAGTCGACCTTCGTGACCATACCAAAAAAAGTAAATGCCAAGACATGCGAAGACTACAGAACAATTATTAGCCTAATGAGCCACTTACTTAAAACGTTCTTGAAAATGATACACGGCAGAATATATAAAAATTGCGAAGAACAAGTATCATGGACGCAGTTTGGATTCCGCGATTCCTTAGGTACCCGAGGAGCTCTATTCGCTGTCCAAGTGCTTATGCAAACATGCAGGGATGTTAACTGTGATGTGTATACTTGTTTTATCGACTACAAAAGGCATTTGATAGAGTAAAGCATGATAAACTTATAAACATCTTGAAAGAAGTGGGGTTAGATGATAGGGACTTGAGAATCATCTATAATTTATATTACAACCAAACAGCTAATATTAAAGTGGATGACCAATTGACAGAGGCAGTCTCCATAGATAGAGGAGTGAGGCAAGGATGCATTCTGTCCCCGGTGTTATTTAATATATACTCGGAATATATCTTCGAACAAGCGCTAGAAGAACTACAAGAAGACGTATTAGTCAACGGAATGCGTCTAAACAACATTAGATATGCCGACGACGCAGTAGTTTTTGCAGATAGTCTGGACGGTTTGCAAAGAATAATGTCGCGTATATCAGATATAAGTAGAGGACACGGACTTGATCTTAATACGAAGAAAACAAAGTACATGGTAGTCAGTAAGCGCGAAATATTAAATACACAGCTTTTGGTTCACCAACATCCAATTGACAGAGTGAACAGCTACACATACCTTGGTACCAACATTAACAGCCAATGGGATCACTCCAGTGAAATAAAACAATGCATAGGAAAAGCGAGATCAGCGTTCATAATGATGAAGGCAGGATTTACCGCTTGCTACCAAAATCTCTCTCATTAGATGCTATGTATTTTTTACGTTATTATACGGAGTAGAGGCCTGGACACTTTCCGAAGCTTCTTTAAGAAAACTCGAGGCATTCGAGATGAGGTATTACAGACGTATTATAAGAATTTCATGTGACTAGTGTTGAGGTCCTACGTAGAATAGGCAAGGAATGCGAGACTATTAACACCATCAAAGAGCGCAAACTAGAATATCTTGGCCATGTTATGAGGAATGAACAGAGATACGACTTGTTGCAACTCATTCTTCAGGGCAAGGTATTTGGACAGAGAGAACCAGTGAGAAGAAGAATATCTTGGCTTCAAAACCTGAGAAAGTGGTTTAATACAACCGGACTATGCTGAATAGCAGCAAGCAAAGTTAGGATAGCCATGTTGATCGCCAACATCCGGAGCGGATAGGCACCGTAAGAAGAAGAAGAACAGGCAGATACGTTACGTTCATAAGCATCCCTATCGAGCCGAATGCACAAGGGGATCTTACCGGAACCCGATTACCAAAATATCAACATTCAACATCCATATTTCATTAGCACACGTTGCACGTATTTTTTCACATTTGTGGTATCAAGCAGTCTTAAAATCAAAAAGTAAAAATCCGTTTATTGTCATTTTTCTACAGCAACAAGATATTTTGTCTTTTAAGGATTTATAGATCCAAAATATTACCAAAAAATCGCAAACAGAAAATAAAGAAAAGCTTAATTTCAATAAAATCTGCACATTTAAATTTTATTCACGAGACTCCAAATGTTATGTTTTATAAACCTCTTTGGAACAAATTATTTAAATCTGTCAATATTGGTAGGAGAGGAGAGGTGTTAGAATTGCAGTAAACCTGAATGTAAGAGATTTAAAAATTAAATATGATGCATTCATTCCATTAAATCCAAAAAAAATATATCTAATATTTCGATGCTTCTTCGCTATATACCACCTATTTATCAGAACTACTACAGAGAGATTGGTATTGTTGAAAATGTAGGAACAGATAATGAGACAGAACATTTGAATGACTTTGGTGATCTGAAAGATAAAAATTAAAGTGATTTTAAAACAATTCTATGTATAGAATTGCAATTTATGTATTGTATTTTTCATGTTTAGTACTGTATACAGATTGAACGAAATAAATTCGGAACATACGAAATATTATGTATTTCGGCTCAATTCTGTTGTAGGTGGTTGACCAACAAAAGGTTGTCAAATAATTATATTATAAAAATCCAATACTTCAGCGGGCTGCTGGATTCTGAAATCATAAAAATTGAAAGCTACACATAAATCTACGATTTTATTATGCTGTCACACCACTGTCCAGGAAATGAAGCATTTCATCTCGCAATTTTTTCTTCCTGCGTGGATTGACTTGAAATTTTAACAGAAGGTAGGTAATAGCCAAGGATCAAAATCTATATCGAACCAAAGTGCGCCAAAGCCTTACGGGTGGTTGCCACCCCATCTCGGGGATGAAAATTATTTTTTTACGTTTTAACTACAGGTTTCGATTAAAAAAGTAATTCTAAACAAAAAATGTTCCATACATTTTTTTTTGTAAAAACTGATATTTTTCAAGTTATTCGCGATCGAAAGTAACAACTTTCAGACGAAAAAATCGACGTTTTTAATCGATTTTTCGCGAATATCTCGAAAATGGTGCATTTTATCAAAAAAATTGTAGATAACAAATTTGTAGCTTTTAAAAAGACAAATACAATTCATTTTTTAAAATGTTTTTGCGACATAACAGGAACCGAAATACGGCCTATCAATGTCCAGCGGTTTTCTTCAAATGCCAAATTTGAGAAAATAAGGTCAATACCTCGTTTTTTACGAAAAAATCGATGAAAACAACCTCCTAACCACCCCTATAATTAAAATCGATCTTCACCCTTCTGCAATTCTCTTTGTACATGTATTGTTAATACGTCCAAGAAGTTTGACCCATTTAAAATGCTTAGTTTTAGAAAAAGTACAGCATAAAGCGAGAAAACGATTTACAATTTCATATTTTTTACCCTTCTTTTTTTTAAATATCCCCGAAAACACTGAATATGTGAAAAAAATAAAAATATACTAAATTGTAGCTTTTTTAATGACTAAAATTTTCCTTTATTTAGATTTATTGTACAATGAATATTTGGCGAGATATAGCCGTTTAAAGCATCGATTTACGATCAAGCACCATCTTTTTCGAGCCCTTTAAACTCACCCCATTTAAAAACCAAGGGTTCCAAAAAGATTTAATTCACAGATCCTTGTAGCTCTTAAAAACCTCTACTAAATCGTTTTTGAAGAAACACTCTATCGTTAAAAATGAAGGAAATACGTTAAAAATACCAATTAATTTTTTTTCCGGAAAATTCCATTAGTATAGTACAGTACATTTCGGAGTATAATAATCTACAAAACCGGTATATAGGTAGTGGAACCAAATTTCACTCATCTTAAGATTTGTAATGTTATTTTACAATTTTTGAAAATTAGGGGTAGTTTTCACCCCTAAGAACAATCAGGGTTCATCGGCATGGCATAAACTATGAAGCAGAGGGTGAGTTGAGCTTAATTCCAAATTATTATGCAAATCGTTTCAAGGCAAAATCATTTTCTTAGCATTACTACTTTTTTTTTACATTAATCTCTAACAAGGGTCGTTTTTTAAGGGTTGAAATATGATGAAACTTTATTCAAAAGCACGAAACTATCATTATTTAATTAATTCAAACCAAATTTTACCCATATTCAGGTTTAATATGTTATTTTATAATTTTTGACAATTAGAGGTAGTTTGCACCCCTAAGAACAATCAGGGTTCGTCGACATGACAAACTATAAAGCAATGGGTGAATTATATCCAAATTTTTATCCAAATCGATCCAAGGCGAAATCATTTTTTTAGAATTAGTAATTTTTTTTACATTAATCTCTAACAAGGGTTGCTTTTTAAGGGTTGAAATATGATGGAACTCTATTCAAAAGTATAAAATAATAATTATTTAACCAATCAAACCAAATCTTACCCGCATTCAGGTTTAATATGTTATTTTATAATTTTTGACAATTAGAGGTAGTTTTCACCCCTAAAACCCTTCAGCGCACTTCGGTTCGATATAGATTTTGATCCTTGGGCTATCACCTACCTTCTGTTAAAATTTCAACTCAATCCATGCAGGACGAAAAAATTGCGAAGTTGTAACTTTTTTCGAGCTTCATTTCCTGAACTATTATCGCTTCCTTTACGCAAACAACATTGTTGCGAGGCAGATAGTTGAACGATATTTTATACAATGTCTATACCCAGGTATGGATTTATTTTTGTCCATGTTTTATATTGGTCCACTATTTCAAATGCAGTTCAAACAGACATGTATTAAATTGTATGATCCGTTTTAAATTCGTTCAATCTGTATAACTTCTAATATTATGATAAGATACCTATTTTACAACTTGTTATATTAATAATTTTTTTGTACGAGGTGCAAGCCACATTTTTTCGAATTTTTATTTTTTCTTTTTCTACAAAAACGACTTTTTTAAAATTAGCTTAGCATTTCAGGGATAGTAGATATACAATTTTCAAATAACACCATTTATTGATATATTTGGTATTTCAGGATGTGATTAAAACCTTTATAATTGATTTTCTCAAAAACTTACCTTTTGTGCTATGTACCGTTGTTGCTCTAAGGTCTTCAAATGTAGGTAGGGTATATAAGTACAAAGTAGGTTTTTGACCTACTTTTTACGCACATACATAGTTGAATAAGAGTAGACAACAATATTTTCAAAATAGTTTATTATTCAAAATCAATATAAGTTACATTAACGATGATAATTGGTTTGTAATATATTTTAAATCGGAAACATTTTTTGAAGACAACTTTTCAGTCTTTAAAACTTTGGTTAAACATTTTATTTCTCCTTTAATCCTACACAATACTTCATCTATACTATCATCTTCATTTTCTTTGGACTCTTCGACAGCTACCACAGCAGGATCCTTTTTCGACTTCGACCTATGTTTATAATCTCTAAGTTTAACTGCGTGAGTTGAAGTCTGTTCTTCTATTATATTATTTTTAACTTGAATAGGATCAACATTTTGTAGAGATTCTCTTATGGGATAATCATCTCTATTTTGGTGAGGTACATCTATGTCTAACTTTATTTTTTTAGCTGTGTGTGTATGTGTCCTCATAACGCAGTTATGTCTATATTTTAATTCTCCGATGAACTTAAAATATTCTGTATTAAATTTCTGTTTTTCCACATTTTTTCTCAAAAAAGTCGAAACCAACTCGACTATATCGTTACCGCAGTTCATTAACGTGTTCTTGACAATTTCCTCTTTTCCATTTTGTACTAGCGTTTCTAAAAGTTCTAAAACAGTGTATTTAACGACGTTATTAGAGTTGAGTAAATTCGATAGAATGGTGACAATTGTCCCGAACATTCTACGGCTATCTTGACCTAACTTGTTTTTATTTACATGGGAAAACGATTGGAGTGAAAAACATACGTGGATTTTGAAGCAGTCATTCGACGAGAGGAGTGCCAGTTGGTTTAATATCTGAAATGGAAAATTAAATTATTAATGCAAGACTGTTGTTACGACTCCTATGAGAATTAGGGCATAATTCTAAAAGGTCAATTGCATTTAGTATATTATAAACTAATCAAGTTGGTAAAAAATAAGCTGTTTCTCGTCAAAATTGTATTGGCGACGTGCAAGTACTTGGAGGGGATACGAGAAACGATCGTGCATGAGTAGTGGAGAAATCTTGCATCTTTTACTGCACATTTTATAGATTATAGATTTCATAAATTCATATTGTCAATTGTCATATTTCATATTCGTTTTGTTTATTTACACCTTCTGTCACTGAAGAAAATGGGATTTAGGAAATGCTGTGTTATAAATTGTAAAAATACAACAAAAAATTGTCAATTTAAGTTTTATTCGTTTCCAACTTAGTACAAATTACTACAAAGATAAAAGTGGATTTATATTATAAAAAAGCATAAGTAACAACCTAAATTATGCATTATTCTTGCGCCCGATTTTAAAGTCAGTTTGAAATAAATAATAAATAAAAGTTCACTTTAAGTGTAAATTTTAGTTTCATAACACTCACTTAGAGTTCATTTTAACTCAAAAATAAAGTTTAATGTTTGAATTTTATTTTTTTGAAGTTTACAAAAATGCAAGTTCAAGTTTTTCTGAAGATGCATTAAGATATATTCGCTGTCCAAAAGTTTACAGGGAAAGAATTAATTGTTCAAACCAATATGATGATATCATGGGCTTAACCTGCTAATTTATGCATTAGCATTATTTATGGTAATTTATTTTTCTTAATTCTTCCACTCCACATAATTCTTCCATTCTTTTTTGACATTTGCCACTACTAAAGCTTTTCCCTTTGACTCACTGATTGGTTGAAAAGTTATTTGGTGATTTACTTTCTCAAATCCAGTTTTTATTATTGCATCCATATTAACAGTAATGCTGTAATTCAATAATATATTTATTTGTATTTACGCTACATCAACGTTTACCTTTTAATAACATACCGACATAACCTCAATCTTACGTTTTGTTCTTATTCTTTTTTGGAGCCACGTCCTTGACAGTTATCCGGTAACCTCGATCTAACATGAAAGCGCAGTAAATTTGGCTGATTTACGACACCAGGTGTCGCTGTTCCGAACTTGCACGGTCCCAATAGACGGGTTTGACAGTTGAAATGTGTATAAGATACCATAAAAAAACTGTCATCTACTGGTTCATCAATTTTTTAGTGGAATTATTTTTAAATAAAATAATTAAAACGTCAAACTGATTATTTTGCTCGTAACAAAAAGTTGTCTATTTAGAGATTTTACGTCATCAGACAACTTTTTCTGAAGAAAAAATATACAAAATGGGATGCTAAATTAAAATCGGTTAATATACAAAAAAGTTATTTCAAAATAAACAACAAAATCGATGTTTTTGATTATTGTTAATAACTTTTGTACCGTAGCTCGGGGTGAATCCGGACAGTAGGGGCAAATTTGTACAAAGCCGCCTCTGATTACTTCTACGTCAATGTTACCAATGCGCGAACTCACAAATCTACTATTTGTAGTTGTACTGTACTGAATTTTGTCGGGTCTGAGTCTGAGCATGGTACAATGAATACAATGTACATGGTATGGTATTCATTGTATCATGGAGTCTGAGTGAGTTAGTAGTCGAGATATAGTGGTGTACGTGACATCGTAAGGTTTTGTTGACTCATAGGTACGTATTTTATAACCTTTAAATTTCAGGCTTTTTTTAATCTTAAAAAGAAACTGCTGTACAAGAAAAGCAATTATATGTAAGAGCTAAGAAGTAGCAACAAACTATTTAATGGTTTGTTGACAATCTATGTATAAAATATTATAGTTGTATTTAGCAAAGATTTTTTAGAAATTAATTTGCAAAAATTTGTCTTCAGGTGGGGCGAATCTGGACACCATGATGCGACAGTACAAAAAGAAAGTAGGTATAAACTTCATGAATTACAATTCAGAATATATGGAGGGAGCTACTTCTGATGTTAAGAATAAAAAGAAAACCTTAGACAAGCTGGTGAATACTATCGTGTATCAAAATCGACCTTGCATGATAGACTCAAAGGGAAATCGACATTTCAAAAAGGTGGACAATATTCTCTTAGTACACAAGAAGAAAGAATGATAGCACAAGGTATCATAAAATTTTGTGAATGGGGGTTTCGCATGACCCGCTCCGATATAAGAGTCTTAATAAAAAGCTATCTGGACAGAAAATGACAAAGTATTAACCAACTATACTAAACGCTCAACTTACAATCAACCAACAGAATATCAAAAGAGTCGAGCCATACACATATCTAGGCACCAATTTAAATAGCCAATGGGACCACTCAACAGAAATTAAACAGTGAATAATAAAAGCAAAAGCAGCATTCGTTAGAATGAGAACCATTTTCAACAGTCGAGACATATCATTAAAAACAAAATGCCGTCTTTTGAACTGCTACATATTCACAGTTCTGCTCTACGGAATGGAAGCGTGGACACTGACTGTTGCATCTATGAATCGGCTCGAAGCTTTCGAAATGTGGTGTTATAGGTAGGGTGACCATAATTTTTCAACAAAAAAAAGTACGTTTATAATTTTTAAGAAAATATGTACTCTGCTAGTGCCCTAGGAAATTTTTCTGGTCAAAATTTTACGAATCTTTAATAAAACAATGATAAGAACGATTTTTTTAATGAAACATAAGTACATACAAAATTTGTGATAAATTTTAATAAATAATTTTCTTTCGACGTTCCTTCCTGAACATCTTTATCATCATTTTGGTACCAGTCGTACTTTTTGGAACTATGAATTTCCTTCAGAAGTTGTGGTTTACTCTTCAAGAACTGAAACATTTCATACCACGAAACTTTGAAGTTTGCATGATGGCTTTCAGAGTAAATATTTTCAATTGCGACTTGTTGGGACTCCAATAGTTATTGATATTTGAGAACAACCCTTCAATCGACGCACTGGTCCCAGGCAGACAAAAAACAAACTCACATAGAATTTTGAGATTTTTCAAAGCACTTTCTTTTTGGAAGATTTCGAGCCATCGATCTTCGGTACAAATATTTTTCGAATTCCATTCTGCGATTTTATCTTCTGTAACGTAGGTTCGTATTAGACTAACTTCATCAAACAGTTTGTTCTAATTCAATATCGGACCTATGTAGTCTTTGAAAGCCTCACACGACGATAAAATTTCAGCCCAAGAAACTAGTTTTTTCAAGTTAACCCATCCGAATAGCTTTAGTTCACTTAAATTTTCACTTCAGTTTTTCAAATATGTTACACAATTTAAATAGAACTGCTTGACATGCGTGATAAAGATATCCCGATAGTTCACACTAAGGTCAAGGTCTTCCATATTTTCAAGTTTTGAAAGTGACTTTCTTACTTTAAGCGGTAAAAATAACTCATTTAAGCGATTTTGAAGCTTATTTATGTTCGAAATACTCCAAAGCGGCTTCCGTTGCGCATATTTTGTCACCTTCTACATCTAAAATCACTTTGTGGAAGAGAGACGCAATGTTATGCACAAACCACATCCATGTTTCACTGACTGGGTTTTCAAAAAACTGTTTTAGAACTGTTGGGCAACTATCAATCGATAAAAAATATGCTTTCAAGGGTTCGAACATTTGTATAATTCGTTCAATGGCTGGCATTAAGCTCAAAAATCTTGTTTTTGAAAACGACAACATTTTTTTTACTCGATATCAACAAAATCGCAAAACTGTTTTAGTTTCTCCGCTCTGATTGTAAAAATATAGAAATACTTAACAATCTTCACCTCAATAGCCTCGATGTCTATCGGTAAGACGTCCGTCGAATTTTGTAAACAGTTATTAAAAATGTATGCCACACAACCAATTCCAATCGCGAGTTTACCACGAGAAGCATTTAATTTGCTGAATAGATTGTTCACTCCTTTTCTTCTCATTCCACCAAAATTTGTATTTGTATTATCAACAGACATTCCAATGCATTTTTGTAGTAGATTATGGTGATTCAAAATATTGACCACGTAATCTTTTAACTGCTCTGATGTGTCACCAGGAAAGTCACGTAGCTGAAGTAATTTTACTTGGGCACCATTTTCCATCAAAATATCTTACCATTAAGGGCACAACTTTAATTTCTCTATGATTCGACGAATCGATTGTGATGCTGACGAAATTTGCTCTTAGAAGGTCAATTTCTAATTGGAATTGAGCCTCTTGAGCTAAAACATTTTTTACAATCGCCTCAGTCTTGGTTCGAGCTGCCGCAAATTTAGGTTCAAACATGCTTACAATTAGTTTTGACGTGCAGTCTAAGGATCTGAAACTTTGTAATTGCTTAATTGTATGGTAAGCAAAAGTACCTTCCTTGGCAGCAATCAACATACTTTCAGAACTTAAATTTTCTTTTTTAACAAAGATTTCCAATTTGCTGCTCTTCGAGTTCGCATTAGCAGCCAACATGTGTTTTTTCTTTGACAAATGTTGTTTGATATTACTGCGACCACTGTTAGAAATATCAATATCACTTTTACAAACTTGGCAAAACACAATATTTGATTTTTGTTTCATAAAAGGATACTCTGCTTGCAACTCGACATTAAAATGGCATTTTTTTCTAGGCGGTGACATGATGAAATTGTTTATTTTTCCACACACCACAAAATAATATTAAAAACGAGAAAAACTGCCGGAATTTAAGACAAAAAGTTAATAGACTAATCAACAGTGAGCGCACAAGTAACAAATAAACATAAACGTACGACGAGATATATATTTTTACTAAATAAATAAGATAATAAGATCGCAAGTGACTCCTGCGTCGATCGATTGCTGCTAAAGATAGGAGATTCTGATTCTTCCGCAAAAGATCGATTCTTGAATCAATTCGAATCATAATTATATTTTGTTTGGACGAAAAGTAGGACTTAATTTTGTGTAATTAAGAAAAAGAGTACATTTAGGGGTACTTCATAAATTTAAAAGTACAATAGGACAGCGTTTGAAAAGAAAGTACTGTCTTACTAAAAAAAGTACATATGGTCACCCTAGTTATAGGCGCATCTTACGTATATCCTGGGTTGACAGAGTTACTAATGTGGAGGTCCTGCGTAGAATGGGTAAATAATGTGAAATTCTCATGACCGTCAAAACTAAAAAGTTGGAATATTTAGGACATGTAATGAGAATTCTTGAACAAGAACGTTACGGCCTTCTCCAGCTGATTCTCCAAGGGAAGGTAAATGGTAAGAGAGGACCGGGAAGAAGACGCATTTACTGGCTTCAAAATTTACGAAAGTGATATAACACGACTACCACTGAACTGTTCCGCGCTGCAGTAAACGAAGTAAAGATAGCCGTGATGATCGCCAACATCCGGAACGGATAGGCACTTTAAGAAGAAGAAGAAGGCAAGAGTGAATTGAAAAGCAATTACTTTTATTTAAATAGAAATTGTATTTTTGTTATATTTAAATACTGAATAGTAGTCTGAACTTCATAACCGTATGCATAGTTTACATGTCAAAATTATGTTTTTGTAATGAAACTTCAAGATATTTATAGATAAGCTTACAATTAAAAACTAAAAACTATTTGTAAAATTAACGATAAGATTACTTACCGTATATAATTGTTTATTGTTGAATTCCGTCAAATAATTATTCGTTATTTTACAAAAGCTTGCGATAAAATATTTAAATGTATCATTATCGTACAATGGTAACTCCCATATGCTTGCTATTGTGTTTACTAAATCCACGTTAGATAAATTAAGCTGCTGGTAGTTTACAGTTGACAGGGCTTCTAAATTTCCAACCTACAGAAATGGGGTATAATAAAGAAGTTGAACAACTTATATGTATACATATTGAACGAAATAAATTCGGAACATACGAAATATTATGTATTTCGGCTCAATTCTGCTGTAGGTGGTTGGCCAACAAAAGGTTGTCAAATAATTATATTATAAAAATCCAATACTTCAGCGGGCTGCTGGATTCTGAACTAATTCAAGAACTCATTCATAGGTAGTCAAACCACCTATCGCTTCCTAAAGCCGGTCACTCACGGTACAGCGGTGTCGTTCGACATAATCGGACAGAGGCGTTGTTCAATTTGTTGGTATATCTGGTGCGCCCACACAACATACTGCGCCGCAGTATTTGTTCGGTTCTCGACCATGTCAAATCAAACAATCATTTTAGCGTCTCTTACTTTGTGTATAATTTCTTTGTGTATAGATTCTGGTGCAAAGAATCCAAGATTTTGGTGCAAAATAAATCTCGTCTGCCCCTGCACCCCATTTGCTGGACTGGACTACAAGTTCTTGGAACTTTAAAACTAGAATGTCCATTGCCTGTTTTCGGGCGTTTCTATCGTGATACGTTTTACCTTTTATTCGCTATAGCATTCTTGTTTTTTATATAATTTAAAAAACTCTCTTAAAAAATTCTCGCTAAATCAAGCCATTGCGATTTTCTATAATATGATCAAAGCAAGTGTTTAGTTAAAAACGAAGTTGAACAACGCCGCTGTATCGTGAGTGGTCGCCTTTAGTCAAGCCCCTCTTTCGTTTATCGGAGATGGAGATTTTGAGCGGTGTTGCCAATATCATTCCGCTAGATGTTTCTAAAATAACTACAAACTTCTGAAATAACTACAAACTATTAAGTTTATTTTTGTTATTAGTCTGTTGTAGTAGATTGGTAAATACAATGAAAAATATAGGCAAATATCCGATTTATTTAAAGATACGAAGAAGATATAACTCTCAAAAAGATCCGCAAATCGGATTATTACACGGCGATTGGCAACATTGACTTTGAGCTGCGCTCTAGACTATGGTGCGTTCTAAAAAGAGACGGATAGTTGAACGATATTTTATACAATGTCTAACACCGGGTATGGATTTATTTTTGTCCAAGTTTTATATTGGTTCACTATTTCAAATGCAGTTCAAACAGACATTTATTAAATTGTATCATCCGTTTTAAATTCGTTCAATCTGTATATTAATTCACTCAGAAATTATTTTTATACCTACCAAATTAATTAAATCCTCTGTAGTAAAATTATCTCTTTCGATATTTCCAAAGCTCTCTATAGTTTTCGACTGAACGTCTTCTATAATATTTTTCATCGGCAAATTAAAATTTCTAAACCCAATTTTCTTCCACACTTTGGGAAAAGCGTACACGCTCTGGCTCATTTGAGATTTTAAATAATCCGGTAATATCCCGAAAACTCGTCGCATGAAAGATATCAAATAAATATTTTCCAATCTGTGAGTGTTGACACCAAAATTCAATTGGTCATAAATTTTTACTAGATTTAACAGCGTATCTGCGCATAATCGGGGGTTGGAATTCCTAAAAACAAAATTATTTATTAAAATGCGATTGCACGTGCCCGATGGACGGTACGTGTTTTAATAAATGATTGACGAAAAAAAAAAGAGGTCAAAATCAGAATTCACACTGACGTAATTCTCGCGTAATTTACAACGATAAAACTACGACTTTCATGGAATCTCATATCATATAATGGAAGTACTTATAGGCCGTCTAGAAATTATCCGGAATTTTATATTTTTCCTAATTTTAATAGATTTCCTTTTTGTAACATTTTAAGACAAAACTAATGCATCAAGTAGGTTGCGCCGATAGTAGGTTATGGGCAAAATCGCATGACAAAACTATCTGACTAAACGGACTTAAGATTTAGAATAGAATAGAAAGGAAATCCGAAACGTTAAAAAATTAGTATATTTGACAGAACTCGGAAAAAGTGCAGTGTATGAGACAATAAAGAGGATAAAAAACGGCACAGATATGAGACATAGACCAGTTTCGGGTAGACCGTGTAAGATTCGTGGAAACAATTCAAATGCTTAGTGGCTTTAGGACGACAAAATCCGCGCCTATAGTTTATTTTTATGAACGAGAGAGTAATTAGCATAATTTTAACTGGTACCTCTGACCACTCCATGGGCCTGTTCAAGATTAATTGAAAAATTACTTTGAATAATTGTAAAAAATAAATGAATTATTTCAGTGTTATAAAGTGTTATGTGTATGTAAACAAAAGTGACCTCTTTTATCACACACTATATTAGAACTAACTGGCCTACATTAAAAAGGGTTTTAAAAAATTCACATTTTTTTTAATTTTTAAAAATTACAAAAGAGAAAAAGAGTTTTTAAAACCGTCTAAGGTATGTTAAATAGATGAATAAAAATATTAATATAAAACTTACAGCTACTTGTTACAAATCCAAATCAGATTCAGAAGATGAACTTTCAGAACCAAGATTTATAATAACTGGCTCGATCATTTTATCAGTAATATTGTCCAGCTTCCACATTTTTTCCTCTTCTTTAATAGTGTGATTTACTGCCTTTTCCCAGTTTTCAGGTTTTACATTATTTACGGCCTCCAAAAACAACTGTTTAACATCATGAATTTTAAAAAGTGGTATTTTTTCTTGAAACTTCACTCTTTATCTGTGCCCATACCAGTTCAATCGGGTTTAATTCACAATGATATGGTGGGGATCTAAGTACTGTCATTCCACGATTTGGCAATTTCATCAATTTCGTATTTTTAAAATTTTTCTTTATGAAGGGCACACAACGAATAAAGTTCCTTTCTTATAGATCCGGGATGGTACGTAATATTTTTTGAACTCAGCCAATTCTGCAAGTCTTTTTTTAACCACTTGGTTGTGGGCAGTTCTTCTATAAGTCTGGAGTGATAACTTGCATTATCCATTACTATTACACAGTTCTTAGGAAGAAGATCTATCATTTGTTCGAACCATTCTTGAAAGACATCAGCGTTCATGTCTTCATGGTAGTCACCGGTACGAGTTGATTCAAAAGTTAATAAACCACCTTCAACAAAACCGTCTGAACTGCCAATGTGTACTATTATCAGCCTGCGTCCCTTTCCTGAAGGTGGGTTTAAACCAGTAGATAAGTTATTTACAAAAGCGTGCCTTTGACTTGTAACAGTTTCATCCTGCCAAAATTTATTTGGTGTATGACCCTCGTTGATCCATGTTTCATCAAGATAAAATATTTTTCTTTTTTGGTTTCTCATTTCCTTTATGGTTCTTAGAAAATGTCTTCTCCATATGACAATATCGCTTCTTTCTAATAAAATAGACTTTCTGTGATTCTTTTTCCAGCGGAAGCCTATTTCTTTTAAAAGTTTACTCATTTCTGGGTAATCCTTATCATCTCGAACTGAGACAAGAACTTTATCCAATGTTGGAAATTCTTGTCTAAAGAAGAATTCATGCACTTTCCGTCGAAGTCC